CAAGAAGGAGCCAGGAAGGCGGGATTATCGAAGCATGGTAGTTGGGCCAGGGAAATTATACCTGACAGCGAGGAAGAGCGGCAGTGTGTTCTTACCCTCCTTCGTCAGAGTAACAATTCACGAATGTTTTCAACCAGGAAGGTGTCTATCTCCACTGAAATTATCGAAATATCTTCGGACGAAGAGGATACGTATGTCGCTCTATTCAAACAACTGATTTACCACCGCTTGGGTTGACTTCCGCTGCTTTTACATAGCCTAAATGAGGATACACCTTTGAATGACGCTGTATTGTCAATGCCGGGTTGCTGGCCGACCCACGACAGACTCGACAAGCAGGGTCCCTCAGGTCGTCACCTGGGAAAACAAGAGTTAGTGAAAAAGACTCCAGTCATCGAACTCCGTTGATACGCGCTATGTCAGTCTCGGCCAAAATGCTCAGGCGAAAGATGTTAAAGCCACACCAAGAAAACTTTACCGCGCCCGCAGGATCGTCGAGAGCTCAGGTTCCGAAGACAGCGACGCCGAAAGGAAGGTACAAGCCAATCGGGAAATCATGGAGCTTTCTGATAGCACTCCTGAACGGCCAATTCCAAGCAAAGGCACACCTAAACGCATAAAAGACAGGGCAGCCGCACAGGTAGAGAGGTCACTCTATTCGGATGAAGAGAGTGCCTCTGACGATGACGGTGCTATTTTAACTTTGTGAGTGACCTACAATCTGTCGTTTCAATAGCTTATACAGGCGCAGGAACGAGCCAAAAACCGCTCGCAAACCATTGCGTCTACCAAGTCTTATTCAAGGTCGAGCTAAGATGCCAGAAACTACCATCCCTGGAACTAAGAGGCTCCAAGATCTGTTCAATGAGTCTGATGGACGTATCACTTTAGACCCGCGCCCCACTCCGGTTGGCACACCGACTCGTAGAAAAATGTCCGCTGCGCCCTCGACGCCTCTTTCAACAAGCAAGGCTGGAACGAAACCTAAGCAGGCGCCTGGCACTGAAAGAAAGCCCAAGTTGCCGCTGAACAAGCGCGGCGACAGCTCTACGCTCAACAATTTTTTGATGAGCTCAACAGCAGCGTGTTCAAAAACGGAGTGCCGAAAGATACAAAACTTAACTGGAGCAAACGATTGCTGACTACAGCTGGTAAAGCTAGATGGCATCGGTAAATTCCTAACTGTGTAGCCAGTCTTACCTCTCAATCTTTGCTGGCCAGATCTAGAGAAGGTGTTCAGACGACGGAAATAGAACTCGCTGAGAAGATTTTGGACTGTGATGGTCAGTTCTCTCCTACCGCCTGTCTTCATGTGCCATCTGAACTTGCGCCGTACAGAGAGAATACGAAATACCCTGTCACATGAAATGTGTCATTTGGCATCTTGGATAATAGACGCTGACCCGAAGGAGGGTCACGGAAGGCTTTGGAAAGCCTGGTAAGTGGCTTCCAAACTTGAACAGCGTGAATGTAACCGTTATCTTGCACGTCTAGGACTTCAAAAGTCATGCACAGGTGTCCTGAAATTGAGATCACAGTAAGTAACAAGCCGTTTAAGTGTGAATGCTCACCATTATTCTTACTGTACAGACCCGACACGACTACGAAATATCCTATACGTATGAATGGAGTGAGTACCCTCGATGTACTTCCCTTCTACTTCTGAACATCTCGCTTCCATCAGAATGTATGAAGTGTGCAAAGATGTAAGCTATCTCTTGGCAGCTATTGGGCAACGGACTCAAACATCTTTGGCAGCTATGGGCGGTTCAGCAAATCAATTCGTGTCGATGAATGTGGTGCGTTCATGTGTAGTACTTACGATTCCAAGGCTAGAACCAACCGTTTTTCAGTCTGCGGGGCATGTAAGGAAGGAAGGCTTACCCCTCTCTTCGCCACAAGGGCGCCGAAGACGCCGAAGACACCCAAGTCTAGCCGAATGGCGTCGACGAAACCTCAAGGTAATTACCCTGAATGCAAACGCGAAATTTCACGTTGACCTTACTTACCTGCCGCAATTATAGACTCACCACACTCACTCCCTCGACCGGCTGGTGTTATGCGCACTGAGTTGGGTTCGACGAACGATTCTGAACATGTCGTCTATACGATCCACGACTCAGACTCAGAGCCTGACTCTGACCTCGCTGTTCTTACGACGGCCATGGGGTCTGTAACGTTGATTGCTTCGGAAACGTCTTGAACTGCTACTTGAACTGACTTATGTCGTGAGTTGATCTGGTTTTTAAATATCTTGGTGTTGCATCGGCCTACTACCATCTAATCTTACATACCTTACATTTTGTTATACCTATTACCTACCATGTACATACCCAACCGTAATGTAGTCTTCGTTTAAGTATACATATATTGCCAAGCGCTTTGATGAAAGATATATTTTGATTCGAGAATTATGGTATACGACATAGGAATACAAAGGTATTGGAAAATCTGGCTATACAGTAGTCACTGACGATGGTAATACATGATGTAGGCGGAATGGAAGGACATCTACCACCTGGATGCGTACGATAGAATACAAATTTTTCAAGCAGTGTATCTCCCAACAACGAGCGGCAGCTGCGTGCCCAACTCCCACTTATTAGTGATATATGGCCTTGTAAGAATCGCGTTGAACTTGGAGATGTCCGCGGCTGGGCTGAAAACGAACTGGGGCAGCATCGTCGCTAAGAAGGCTTTCATTTCATTGACGCTGAACTTATATCCCAGACACGAGTGCGGCCCCATCCCGAAGGTCATCATGTTCCCGAGGCCTGGATGAGCTGGTGAACGCGCACTCGATGGTAGGGATGTCCAGCGATCAGGACTATTGGTGATGAAGAAAACATCAGCTGTCACGTATCGAAAAGGAAAGAAAGAATCTCACTTAAATTCCAAGGCATCACTCCCCCAGATTTCCGTGGAGAGATTGAGGCCTTCGATGGGGATGTGGATGTAGCTGCCCTTGCGTATGCTGACGAAGCCTCCCGCTTCGACCACCGTGCCGTCCTGGAGGACCACAGGGTGCGAGACGGGGATCTGATCATCGGCAGTGGCAACACGGATCGTAGCGTGTACCGGGGGACATAATCGCAGAGTCTCGCGGACCACGGCGTCCAGGTATGGCGATGCCTCGATCTCGTCCCAGACTTCGTGGATACAGTTTGAGCTGCTGTAGGTCGGCGGGGGAGTAGCTCGGGTGGAATCTCGCTCGTCGGGGGTTTCGTCATCTGCTGGTGAAGGAGCGGCGCTGGCAATGGAGAGGATTTCGTTGCGAAGGCGCGTTTGTATTTCAGGATTTAAGGCAAGGAAGTGCAGGCACCAGGCCATGGCCAACGAGACGGAGTCAGAACCTGCAAGAAGGAATGTCGAGCACTGGTCAAGTAGTTCGGCATCTGACAGCCGCTTGGAAGGGTCGGTGGAAAGGTTTGCTTTAACTGCCAGGTCGAATTCGATTAGACAGGTGCAGTAAAGAGAACAAAGTGAAGAAAACGTACTAAGGAGACTAAGAATGTCTTTCTGTTGGCTTTCCTTCTTGGATGTTTCTGCCATTACAGTCGCTTTTTTGGCTGCGACGAGCTTTTTGCCTGCTTTTCCGATGATGCGAAGGCTCTCGTTTGTGACTTTGGTTCCATTATCGGGCTAAGATGCAGAAACCGTAAATTACGACGGTTCAGAGGTTACGTTGCGCGACGAAGACTCACCCAAAGACTCCTGATGATCGGGAAATATAACTCCAGGACACCCCTCAAGCGAGGTCCCTTGTCAGCAACGTCGAACATACGTCTATAGGCTCCATAGACCTCTTCCGATTCATCTTCCAGCGCTTTGAAGTTATAATCAAAACCGGCCAGGCCAATCACGTCGAAGGAGGCACGGGAAGTCCAATGGGCGACATCAATAGTTACACCTTTGAACTGTTCACCAGCAGGTGCAACCGCGGCGTATGCAGGTGGAGGGTCGGTTGGGTGAGCATCGACGAAGGGTTCGGATATGAGGGCTTCCCAACGATCACAGAGCTGCCGGGCCTTTTGCAAGAATACTGGGTTAATCGCTTTGATGGATTGGAGAGTGAATGCAGGGCCAATGAGTCGACGCTAGATATCCTGTGGTTTAATAGGAGATCGTGGTGCCTAACATGGCACGTACCTGAACTTTGTGTTCATTGCCTTCCATAGAGAAAATACCTATAACAAGTTCCCGTAAGTAAAGATTGACTTAACATCATGGGCTGGACTCACCGCGACCAATCAGCCTAGCAAGCAGAGCCCGGGTCTGCCATGGCTTTTCATATGTTGTTGAGTTGAGGACATGAGATATGACGCGAAAATCGAAAGACATCATGCGGTAATCGTGCTGTGAAGATAAATACGGATTACGCATCGCTGAGTGGAATGCAGATAGAAACGTACCTTTCCGAAACCGTGGAATCGGAAAGTCTTTCCAAACTCTTTCTGCCAATCTTCATGCGTTTTGGGAGTCTTAGCGGGACTGGAAAATAGCAGATTGGGATTGAGCAAACATGCGCCACCGCATGTGTTGGACGAACGCACTCCATTATTTCCTGGAAATGATTCTGCAATGCCGAGGCTTTGGGTCCAGGTAGATGTCTCAAGGGATCGAAGAGGGGCATGACGAGAACCATGTTGAGGAACCCAACAACGCCTCGGGCTAGCAAAAGCACGAGGCATACTCCCGATACCTTGAGGCCAACGGTGAGGACGGTGACCATCACGTTGAACGGAGACATTTGGGCTGTGGATGTGATGTGGGCGGTCGAGAGGGTAGGCGAGAACACCTTCGACCTTGGGGTTTAAAACAGATCATTTCCACAGGTGCAGGGTCTCTAAGAAGCATAAGGGCAGACTAGCAGGCCCAAATGCGGTATGGCAACAGCCTAACCCGATCAGGATTGAAAGGGAATCCTTAATTAGGAAAGGCGGTGCGCCATTCTATTTCGTTGCTTCCCTCGTAGTAAGTATACCTTACTCCCCACCACAGCCCGCCTAGCTCAATCGGATAGAGCGTCAGACTCTTACGGCGGGTTGATCCCAGTGATCTGAAGGCTGCGAGTTCGACCCTCGCGGTGGGCTACTACGTCTTTTTGCTTAGTATTCAATTATTTTGCCTTGGAGAGCCTTGTTCTCCGCCTGTCCAATAGTTTGACTCAGCGACCGCCGAGTAGGGTTTCACTCCTTCCAAGCCTTCTTCAAGTCGACGTACCCTTGGACCTGCGCCACGCAAAGGCCTACAGTGAGCGAGGAGTCGGAGCTTGAACCTTAAACATCACTTGTGTACAGTTTACATAAGCGGCTCCTCGCTCGATCTCACTAACCATAACTCCGTCGCCAAAAATCGCCGTAGCCAACGCAAGCTTTTCGGGCACAGTGAGTATCAATTGCTGCTGCTATTCTTCGTAGTCTAAGTCCCCATCGAAAACTAGGCTCCTCAAGACACCCATATCCCAAAATGACACACGACGCTGTTTGGTTCTCCCGCCCCAGAAAATTCGGAAAGGGTAGTCGCCAGTGGTGAGTAGATTCACTTTGGCGTATTGCGGGACCATGGGGAACGTATGCGCATTTGGTGGAACTACGACTGACGATGGACGTTTGAACCTCGGAATTTAGCCGACTCTGCTCCCACCAGGCTGGTCTCGTCCGCAAATACGGTCTTGACCTCTGCCGTCAATGCTTCCGTGAAAAGTCTTCTGCCATCGGTTTCACCAAGGTGAGCGTATGGGGCGTTTGTGAAGGAGTGGCAGCGACTAATGTTCTGTCTTCCAGAACCGATGAGCAAATTTAACTTGCATTTCATTTCACGTCGCATTTCTATCTAATCGCGTAGAAAATCCTCCCTGTATGGAAATTATGCTATGCCAACAAGATATCACTTTTGGGAGCTATGATTACCACCTATGTCGCGCGAATCCTAAGCTTTACACCTGTTGCTCAAGGGCCGTCGCCAAATCTTCACGCTTCGAAGGCGATGTCCACTATCATGTTCTCTTTCGTATCCTGTCGCGTAGAGACGTGTTCAATGAATGATGGCTACACATCTATACCAAACGACTCGTCTCAGCGAATCATGACTGTCACGAACACTACAACTTTGATGGTCAACTGCTTGCCGTTCGCGTAGAGTCTACACTTCTTGAACTCCAATATACGGGACACCATAAAATCCGCAGATCTGATTATTGAATGACTTTATACAGCTTGGGGTTGAATAACTACAGAATGACAGACAAATAGTGCTGCAACGAGGATACTATTGCACAGACAACCGAGTTAGGGGTGATTGAGAAATAACCTGTACAAATGGGTAGGGGCAAATAAGAAGTTGTTGGGACAGAAAGCAGGAAAAGCAATGGGGTGCGAATATGCCGGTTGCAAAATACAATGCGGGGAGAAGGCGTGTGTGGTATGGAATATAGATTCACGGTGTGGAAGCCGAGGTGTTAGATAGTACGGTTTGGGGAAGAATACGAGCGCGACGGAACGACAATTCAAAAGGTCTTTTGTAAGGTAGTTTTGGAGGTATCGGACGCAAGACGCATCAGGTGATTAAAAAGAACATAAGTCCATGGTGGTTTCGAAAAGACGGTGGGAAGGGCATGGGTGGGATGTTCTTGTCGTTCGATCACATTCAATAACCGAAGGCCGACCTCTGCTGGTAGGGGTCATTGAGGGAAGCCGAGAGCCCTGCACTGCTGAAAGGACTAGCAAACGAGGCACCGGAGAACCCGCCTCCGTGGGAATGTGTCGAGGATAGGCCCTGGTTGTGGCTGGAATTACCCTGCAAAACATATCCATCAATCGACTGCGGTTGCATCCCATGAATGAGGGAACCAGCGAGATGAGCCTGGCCGAACGAAGCCTGAGCCTGCGGCATCGAGTAGATACCATTCTGTGCACCATAGGCATCGATCAAAGGGTTGGATTGGTGAGGAGAGGGAGGCATGTGACGACCGCTGCCGCCGCCGGCATGATGACCATGAGGAGCGCCCATCCCTTGATTGCCGATTGCAACGTTGCCCATGCCAGGTTGGCTGTGATAGCTTCCGTAGTGGTCCATCTGCTCACGCTGCAACTTGTTCTGGATCCGCTTGCCATATGGCGTGTTCCGGATCAAAGGAAGAATGGGGCGGATGCCTTCCACCAAAAGTGCGCGTTGTGCAGGTTCAGCATAATCCAGCGCGGTCTGCATATCAATCGATACAATCAATATCACGTCGCAGGAAAGGTAATCGCAGACGTACCTGCACACAGTAGTTGCCGTATGAGTCGCGGAGCAGCTTCTCCAAACGTGTACGGTTCAATAGCTCCTCGATAAGCATCTTGCGTGTGCTATGTTCTGCGACACGAACACACTGGATAGACAGATGATCAGATGATGATAGAAGTGAGACACGCATCCAGGAACAAACCTTTTCAATGACATTGGAGCTGAACTTCTGAACAGAAAGCGCACAAACGTTCCCAGCGAACTGACGAATCACAGCGTCGCTGAAGCGGTTATCGTTCAAGTCAAGAATATATTGAACAACCTGAATATAACCGTCAGCTGATGTTCAGATAAAACGGGAAGACTGCATACATAGTTGCCATACGGATCCTGGACAAGAGTGAGGGCATTATACGTGATCTCAGTCACCAATTGCACGCGTTGATGGTCCGAGGCATGATCAATACACCTCTGTAAAACGCAGCATCCATGGCGATGGGTGGCGACTTCAACACAGTTGGCAGCAACAGCATTATAAATGAACTTCACAAAGTGGGTGATGAGTAAAGAATGGCGCAAGAAGTCTCAATGGCAAATATACCTGGTTATCCTCTGGGGCCAACTTGTTCAGACACTTTTGAATGACGTGGTTTCCGTTCAGATCCTTGATAAGCACAACAACATGAAGGCTGAGCGCGACAATGATAGAATGTATCTGAGCATTGTATCTATGATCAGCCTGATTTCCCCGCCGTAAGTATGAGATAAGGGACAGCATGGATAACTGTTGAATGAACTCGCCTGTCTCCGTGTGGAAAGGAAGTCCACCATCTTCTGGACTGCACGCGTGCCATGCATGTTCAAAGAGATATTGACCAGGTCCTGAGCTACGGATTCGCAAATAACATTACGCTGCTCATCAGTCGAAAACTCCAGCAGCTTCTGGCACAGGTAATTGCCAAAAGGATCTGGTTCACCGGATGAGTTGGTGCGTAAGAATTGAGCGAAGACTTCAAGTACATACCAGTCATGAGTTCTGCGAAGTGGCCGAAGGTCTCGCGGAAAATCATATCACGATGCTCTGGAATACCTTCCTCCAACTTCTTCTGCAAATAACGACAACCATGCTGATCCTTACAAAGAGCCGGAATTTCCCCCTGTAGATCCTCCAAACGTGTGCCTGCGAAGCGGTTGACTGGGAAGGCCTTCAGTTCGGTAAACTACACAGAGTCGACAATGACATACATTCACGATCAACGTCACCCCGTTTGTGCTTAGGTCCATGCAGCCCGTTCATTTTGTTGTCTGCAGCGCCAGGGTTCATCCTGCCAGGTAGTCCCAAGCCATAGCGAGAGCCGTTGTGGTGATACAGTGCCGTAGAACCGCTCGTGCCATTGGCAGGCGCGCTGGTGGCACCGCCGCGGCCGTTCGCTTCATACCCGTAGCCGTCGTAGCGGTTGCCATCGCCGCCATTAATGCCATACACAGAATCCAAGTCATACTGCTGCTGACAAATGATGAATAGGTGGATTTAGCACCGTAGGATAGATACACACCTCGTCGAGCGCATCATGCTGAATAGAGCTGAAAGTGAGGGAACCATTCTCGTATGACTGTTGATTGAGTCGAGACAGCGATGACTGCAAGTCGTTCGGACTACCAGAGGCATCACCCAGTTGATGACCTCCCAGCCGCGCATTCATAGAATGCGTATCAGGAGTATGAGGGCTCCCTTGAGACTTGATGTGAAGCGGATTTCCAGGAACGCCGCCAAGAGGAGTGCCGGGTACAGAACGAGTCGCGCTACCCATGTTATCGAGCATGCTTGGGGGAGAACCACGGCGTGACACAGGAGTGTGGACATGAGAGTGGTTGGAACCTTGAGATAGCTGCTGGATGAGCGGTGTAGCCGAGGCCGAGACGGTGTTTCCATGCTTGCCCGTGGGATGATCGTTGGTGGGAGCGGATAGAGTCAAGTTCGGGTTCGTCACCGTTCTCCTGTCCGAGCGAGAGCCAAGGCCATCTGGTGCACGGGGACCTCCGATGAACTGAGGCCATTCCGACGACGACTTTTCTCGAGATTCCAGTGCGCGGAATTGGGAACGAGGAGAAGTTTGAGAGATGTGAGCGAGATCCAGAGCAGCCGAGGATGTTGACACCTTGCACAGTTTTAGAGCATGTCAAGGATGAGATATTGGCCGTCTTACCTTGCTGCTAGGATAGGAATTGTGATACTTGTCGTCGTCCGAAGTCGGGAGGTTCCTCATAGCGTCTACATCATAATCAGCTTACAACCATGTGCGAATATTTGACAAGGCACGCACTGTGCATTTCCTGATCCAGCTGCTCATCCAACATCATGCCAGGGTTATAAGCACTGGCATACCGAGCTGCTTGATCTTCCCCGTAGCGTGAGTTGCTCCTCATCAGAATAGAAGCCGATACTTGGCCAGGTACGGGGGAAGCCCTAGTCGAACGCTCGCCCGCCATGGACAATCCTTGAAGGTGGCCGGCCAGTTCTTCGTCGTGGCTGCTCGCGGAGGTTCGGCGACTAGCAGGCATGCTCTTGGCGCCAGCCGGGCGAGAAAAGCCTTGACCGTTCGTAACAGCAGGGGTGGGCATATCCGGAGACAGGTTGACCGAGGGAGCATAGGTAACTGACTTTCTCTTGTCTGCAGCGGACCCCACAGCTCTAGAGAGCGACTCTGCATCAACCGGGAGCTGACCACGTCCCATCCGCGCATTGGGGTGAGCCTCGCCGTTTAAGACAGCGTTGACGCGAGGGGGAGTGGTGGGAGCGGAGACTGCCAAATGTTGCATGCCCCCATTGCCGTTTGGTGCATTCGGATCATAAGGAATGCTCAAC